GAATATCGACGATCGACGATTTGAATCGCTGAGGTACTCAATCGATGCAGGAAGAGCATACTCAGAGAGATATAAACGGTGAACGTTCGTAAGGAACATTTGAATAACTTCCATTAATAAGATATCGCTGACGATTCTATCAGAGTCGAGTACTCCTTTCACACCTTTGATCAACACCTTTAAAAGCATTGAAAACGACCACGATTAAAGATTTCACACTTTTGATTGAATGAAGAACAGGCTCAAAGGATCATTTGAATCTTACACCGTGTTTTCGAGTGCAGCAGTAATAATAAATCTGGAGGAACGTAGAACTCGTAAAAGGGTGGGATACAATTTTCGTGAGCTAAATTCATGGAAACTGCCTATTCATTTCCGGCTCGAGAGACTTTGTGCCTCTTTCGGTTTACCGAGAAAAGTTTTGCATGCGCGCTGAAGTTTTCACCCGCAATTACTTGGGCATCTAAACTTGCCGGATAGTAATAAGACTTCCTCTTATACGTCCCACCTGCTTACTTGAATTAATGAAGTGAACTTACTCTTACTTATTAAATAAAGCTTTTGATGTTACACTATCGGACCTGACAAGAATAAAAAAGTTAAATACACAGTTTTCTAATTAAATGTCCTTACGTCTGCTATCTTTACTCAAACATGTTTAATTTTTTATTTTCAAATCTCTTATAGGAATGCTATTTGAATATACGAAATATATATACGCGCACAACGTTACATAAATGAACACCAGTACATGAGATAATTTATCAAAATAAATTCAAAGAAGCTTTAAATCGCCAACTTGCAATCTGGAATCCATCCAACCATTACTCTCGTAATTTATCAATTCTTAAAGACGCGAGCTGTTGTGAATGAGGATGGCAATTTTAAACAATTGGAATAGACAGTTGTTACCATTAAGAAATATACTAGTAGAAATTCCGACTATCTTACTGAAATCATTTAACAGCGCAGTAAAAGAAACAACGCGAATACAAAGGAAACATCAACATTGCTAAACAAAGGCAATGTGTAGAAATCGTAACAAATAGCGTTCAGTTCAAAATTTATGAAAACGAAAGCAACAAGCGTACAACCACAATACTCGGTACCTAACAGCGACACTGCGGCACCGACATAATAGACAATTTGGAATATTTAACAATTTTTTGCTAACGATCTTGAAAGGCAATTCGCACAGTGAATACAGAAAGCGACGATTTTTAAATTCTTTAAATTACAAGACAAAACAACCCAAATATTCTTATCGCAAAATTCACAAGCTTATAAAAGCCAAAGAAAAATCAGACTAATAAAAGTTACATGATACAAAAGGGGTCGATTATGGCGGTAAAATTTTCTTTGTGTGTGAAGATATTTTTGAAATACTAATACGAACGCATTTACCTTAATTTGATTGATATAATTTGTTTATATCATACCAAAGATTCCTTAGATGAAAAGTGAATTCAATTCTTTTTAAGTAATGTATTTGCAATATTAATAATCCTCATTGACCATTGCACTATGTACATATATACACCTACAATTTTAATTAATATAATTAATGGGTTGAACCTAGCCCAAAGTGGTACATGTGATAAAATCTTTAATTTGAGAAAACTCAAACAATAAAAGGCATTACTATATACACTTATAAGAACTTGGACATTCACTTAGAATGAAAAATTATCTAGATAAATATGCAACTTATATATTATTTCTTATACCTATATCATTTTGTAACAAAGATACACTTGTACCACTTTTCTAATAAGTAATTAATCAAAATAAATATAAAATTATAATATGTCTGTAAACAAACAATGAAAAAAATTCTATCTTATGCATTTAAAAATATGTATCATATAAAAAATATTTTGAAATGTATTTTTAATACACTTTTATAAATTTGAATAACCTGAATATAAATCCACCATCACAAAAAATAAAACATTTTTAAATCATGAATCATATCAGTTAAATGTAAATATCGAAAAAAAACACATGAAATAATTTCATACAAAATCAAACAAAAACTTACCAAAATAAAATTTCATTTGAAGAAAAACAATTTATACTTGCTCTTAATTTACAGACTTGTAATACGTTTCCAGTATGGCACCTAAAATTATACGTGAAGAATATATTAACGCGCGAATCGATGTATCATCCATGTTTCATTATAGCTACTACTTATTACACTCTTTATACTTTAAACATGAATCCCCTCCGTAAATTACCAACATACCATATGCGTGTCGATGAACTTTTTTTGTATTACTTCTTCTGTTGCTTCGTTAAGTTCCAGGCTCCATTATTAAACGGTCACCTATGGGCGACATGATGAACACGAAGTTAATACGCACACTTCATAGAATAATCGTTTCAAATCGACAATTCATAAAACTTCGATGATACTTTCTACATCTAAATTTTATAACCGCAAAAAACAATCACTTTAAACGTTCGACAATTTTCCTATACCTATTTTACAAACAAAAACAGATATGTCACGTTAATTGATATGTCACTACCGAGATAACCGCGACCGCGACCGTTATAACAAGCGTTCCACAAGTTTTAAAATTGCTCTCTAAATTTTGATTTGCTGCGCAGAAAATGGTGGGGAGCTACACTGAAAGTATAGCGATGTTGTACCACGTGTCTGCTTGTTGGAAAGTTCGCAGGATAAGCAATGGCAGGCCACGTTGGTGTTACAGTTACCTACCGTATTGACCATCTTCAGATAGCGTTATCAAACATTTACAAGGTATACGTGTTGCATACGCGACTGGAGGACAATCTTATACAGCTTTATAGCGTACATGATACGTTAGCTTCATATTCTCAGTATAGATATTATTTTAAAACTTTTACATTTACCATACATTAAATATTAAAAAGTTATTCAAAGCTAACCAGCATTTGACATTTGTTGTACAACTTATTGCGAATTGATAAATGTTTTCCAATTATCAAAATTCTTTAGTACTGTATAAAAATAAAATAAATTCCTTACCTTGTTTTAACAATCAATTATGTAATTACACCATTTTCAAAATAATCCAGTATTATGTATAGAATGTATCAAGCTCTTTGTTACCGCGCAGTGTCGTTTCATATGTATGCACCTACAGCCATTGTTACTATAGTTATAGAAGAAATCACTCCAGTTACACATTATAAATTTATAAATGACTTTACAAATACTAGAATTATAAATATAAGAAAAAAAAGTTACTAGAAATTTTAAGAATAAATATGCTATGAATAATTTATTTGTTTCAAATTGCACATTTCTAATTTCTGCAAATATTTTAAAACTTTATTATGATATTACTAAATACATTATGCTCTTCTTTGTAAACAAATTTTCCATACAGTTTTAATAAAAATATAAGGTACATATCGTAAAAAAATAAAGGATACCACCTTAAATTTAAATCTACCGCTATCGGCAATATCATTTTCTACTATCACGGATTCATTTACACAAATAAGCGTTGCACTACCTTATCTAACAACACGGTTAATCAACAAATACTGTTGCATATTTTCGTTACGTATGAAGTTTACTTTTGCATTAACAAACATCGATCTGCTTTAATATTGTGCCTATTATACATTAAGGACAATGTCTTATCAATTATATCGAAATACAACATTAGGTAATACATTGCAAGAAAGCCTCGATGAATTGATTCAGGTATGCATATAAAAATATATAATATTGAGGTTAGGATTGTCGGTAAATCTACCTTGCTTCTGTCATTATATAGAATTTAGAAAATAATGATCAATATGACATATTTAAAAAGAAAAAAATTCTGTCAACATTAATATTTGTATAGTAAAACATAAGTTCAAGAAATACAAAAAAATTTATTGAACAGAAACAGAATTTGAACAAAATTGAACAGAATTTTTTAATTAGAAGTTACATATGTAATATACAATATTCATTTTATGTAATAATATAATTTTATAGTATGGGCAAATCACACCTCAATTAGCAATTAAAGTACTACTACAATTTGATAAAGCAATAAATCAAGCACTTGCAACAAGAGTTAAATCAAGACTTACATTTAAGGTAATAAATATTAATATTTGATACTAATTACTATAAGTAATATTAATTATAATTACTGATTGTTTAAAATCTGTAGGCTGGCAAATTAAACACATATAGATTTTGTGACAATGTATGGACATTTATGCTTAATGATGTTGAATTTCGTGAAGTTCAAGAAGTTGCAATAGTAGATAAAGTTAAAATTGTTGCATGTGATGGAAAAAGTAAGTAATCTATTTTTCGAATTGCAAAATTAATTATTTATAATATGTTGATATTTTATGGAAGCCATGTATCTTTAGAAAGTACTATATTAATATTTATATTGTTATGAACACTATAATTTCTGTATTACAGCCTTGGATGGAGATGCAGCAGCAAAGCGATAACATCACTTTCTTATATAAATAAATATATTATTATTACATCACGAATAAAGAAATATTAGTTATAAAAAAATTTTGTAATAGGTAGTAATCAAAACAAAGTATACATACATATTTAATATAGGTATAAAATTTCATTTATTTTCTAACAACAGTTAAATTTTGTTATACAATAACTATAATCATAACACTATGTTGAAAGTAGGAATATAAACATTAACTGTTTTTTTGTCATATCAGAAGTTAGCATTAGCTTTATTTTTATATTGTACTTGGAAGTGGATAGATTTTACATATTATATTTACTATAACTTATCTTCAAAAAATACAGAAATATATTGTATAATATAATCTTCCTATGTGGTCCAATCTGTTGTTCCAAAGATGTAAATAATTTTTCAAACGAGACTGCAAGATTTATTAAGATATTTAAGTAAGTGATACAAAGTGGCATTAAGGTTATATAGAAATGTAATTCACTACAATGTACTTTGTATTATAAATAGAAATTTTGAATATTAATAACATCTTTTTACTATTTATAATAATTTATTCGTAAGTACATACAATAAATTTATAGTGAGAAGTAATGTACCTATACTTGTTATAGTTAATATAACGGTTTGTCTAACATTTTTATTGTGGGGCATAAAATTTAATAAATAAAGTATAAGTATATTTATAATATATTGTCCATCTAGAAAGAAACAAGGCACAATGTTAGTAACTGCTAATCCCGCAGAAAATATTGTAATGTATTTGCAAAGCAGTGTTAAAGTTTCTGGTAATCTAGGACTCAAAAATGAATATTTAGGAATCCAGTCAGATACATCGACTGTTCGGTAAATATCAGCTGGATGTCCGAGAAATAAAACATCCTTTCCCTCTCTCCTCTTTATTTGAACAATCTGCAATAGAAATAAATTTGTTAACTATTTTCGATACCGCTAATCATTATTTGAGTAACATTTACATGCACTTTTATATATATATATACCTTAGTTATATTATCAAAGGAAGGTCTTAAACAATGAGTATCATGAAATACGCATTCATGACTAGCATGACAAAAGTTTAGTGACTGATTGATCATAGTTCTTGCTGGAAGACAAGAATGGGGAGGTAAATGTAAAGGAGCTGCTTGTGGTCCTTCAATGTATTCAAAACATAAACTTCCACTAGATTCACTGTCTGATGTGCAACAATTTATAACGCCATTGGTTTTCTGTTTAGATGGAACTGACTCATCATATTCCTAATTACATAAATTAAATTGTAACGACATAAATTAAAAGTATAAAATAATGAAAAAGTATATTAACTGATGATAAAATTACACAAAAAGGAATACCTGAATAAATGATTGTTTAACACAATATCCAACAGCTGGTTGATTAACTGTATTTAATATACAATTATACCAATCTTCAGTATGTTTTACAGGGCAGTCATTTATCTCGTATATCAAATCTTGTTCAGATAGTCCTGTTGGTCGTAGCACAGGTGAATTCTATAAATGTAAATTTTCATAGGAAGAATTTGACATTTTTAACTCAACATTAAACTTTTGTTTCATTTTAATTTTGTTTTTCAGTGAAATCTAAATTAATAAAATACAAAAATCATTAATATATTGACTGCTATGAACATTGACTGAAACATTTAAATTAAATTAAATCATATTATTATAAAATTGTTAATACTTTTAATTTTAGAATAATAGCACAAAGTAGTAAATATATTATAAAGTACTTAAACAATTTTATTTTTTTAATAAGATTACATATATTTTAATGTATCGTGTCAAAATATCTATCAAAACCTCAGTGCTATAAAAAATGCAAAATTTGTGTGACAATCAATGTATTAATGTATAAGAACATATTACTGTAAGACTTACAGGTAAAATAGTTTTTACATAAATTCCATTCCCAACTACATATAATGGTGCCCACAACCATGTAGAAAGCATAAGAATGGTTGCAGCAACTATAGCAAGTACTATGTTATGCCAAATTCCTCCACAAGTAATTCTTAGTTGATTTTTTAATGGTAATGAACTAAGTTGTTCACTACTTATATGTACATAAGCTATAGGTATTGTAAAAGCAATTAATATTCCCACGCCAAATAGTTGAACATCTTCTCTCGCTGCAGCCAATGCATGCCCTAACTCATGCATGATACTGCAAGTTGCTAATGTAATGATATAACATCCAATTTCATTAAAGGGCACATCTATTCCAGGTAACTGAAAAAAGATATCTATTATTCACTTATTAACAAAAAATATTTACTAAATATAAAATTTATATTATAACATATAAAAAAATTATTTAACATATCCTTCTAATAAAGAAATTCTTATAAAAATGCAAATATTATATCTAAGAATAGGTACTTAAAAGTTATATGAAATTAAAATTACCATAGGCTCTAATAAAGGTTCAGAATTTGTATTTTCAAGAGATGGTCCATTAATCCATATATTAAATGTCATTCTTAAAATTGCAATTGTAGCAATAGGCAAAAGAATTATACTAACAATCACACCTGCATTAAACCAAGCAGTCCAAAATTTTGAACGATCCATCCCCCATTTAATTATCTTACGATTAAATGCTGTAGTAAACCATTTTATTCGTAATATTTGAATTTCTATACCAGTGTTTTTCAGAAAATAAAAATATGGATAATGTGAACATGACTGTAAAATAAATGTTTGATTATTATTTATACATTAAATTTAAAATATCAGTTATAGTTAATGTTTATATCAGCAAAAAGGACTTTTGGATTAATTTAATATTGGATAATTCTCAAATTATATTTAAAAGTACATTCTTTTTTAAAAAATTATACCTTGAAGATTGTGTCAAAAAAGAATAACGAACAATGAATAAGACCTATTGCAATTAGCACGCTTAAAGCTTCCATTTTTCGGCACTTTATTTTGATTTTTTATGTAAACAGTTTTCATATTACATTGTATACAGACGTTTTCTATACGCGAACTATAAGTTACTGAGTTTATACAGAACTGTCTGACATCCAGAGTAAAATCTAAAAGATAATATACTAGTAAAATATGACTTTTTGACAGTTGTATTCCCTAGATCATAACAATTATTACTTTTATAATTATAGTTATATTATTAATTAAATTATATTAAATATAGATAACATTAATTAAATTTTAATTTAAATATAAAACAACACAACATTTAAAAAAAGAAACAGTTACTTCTTTTAAATAAATTTACTACGTGTTACTTTAATATTCAAATAACAAATTTGTATTTCCGTAAATATAGTTTTCTACAATTTAAAATAATTTGTACTAAACAAATTTTAGGTTTTTTCTTTATATTGTCATTTGTATTTCATTATATATTGTATTATTACATTCTGAAAAACTTTTAAATTTGATATAGGGAATTCGGTATAGGAATGCGTATAGTCTAACTGAATAGTGATGGCTTAGATACAAGTACAGCAGAATGCACACGCCTAATTCGATTATGTATGATCATTATCACTTTCACTTTGTTTATAACCTTGTATATTGTTAAATTAATAGTAATGATATTTGGTATTTGAAATATAATTGGAATATTTGTTTTGTGCATAATTTGAAATCACTGTTATTATACTGACATGTCGTTAACTATTGAAAAACAAATTGAATTACTATTAGATGGACATCCTTTAGAAATTGATGACACGCATGAAACTAACCATGCCGTACAAAATGAAATAGGTAAAAATGAACTTTATATATAATTAAAATTTAATGTTTTGGAAATGATAATACACTTCAATATACATGTATATATATTGCAATTAGTTAATATTTCTTGCATAACATTATGAAACTTACAAATGAATAATTAAAAAAATATGTTAGAAATCATAATGTATTTAGATTTTTAATTTTTGGTTTTACATATTTCTTCTTTTAATTTTATTACCTTTTTTTTGAAATTATTTGTTATTAACAACTTATACACAAGAGAAACATATCACAGGAGGAAAAGGAACACCTAGTTCTTATATACCAATTTGTCAAAAAACTGTAACATACATTGTTGCTGCTGTAGTAATAAATAATCAAGGGGAGGTATTAATGATGCAAGAAGCAAAAGCAACTTGCAATGGAAAATGGTATTTACCTGCTGGTCGAGTTGAACCTAATGAAAATTTATTAGATGCTATTAAAAGAGAAGTTTTGGAGGAAACAGGACTTATATTAAAGCCAGAAACATTAATATTAGTAGAATGTGCAACTGATTCATGGTTCCGATTTGTATTTACTGGAAAAATTACTGGTGGCAAATTAAAAACATTAGAAGAAGCAAATGAAGAATCATTGCAAGCTTGTTGGATGAATAATATAAATGATCTGTCGCTCAGATCAAATGATATTATTCCTTTGATAGAAAGAGGTAAAACTTATGTCATGAATAAAGATGTTTCACAACATCCACATTTAATGCCAATTAGTACACCATTGAGCAAATTGTTGTTGCGGCTTTCAATTACTTCAAAAAAAAGAGCAACGTAAGTTACATGTATTTGAAATATGCTTTATTTAAATTAATTTTACATTAAAGTTTCAAATTTATTTTTGTAAGTATATCACTGCTTATGCTTGGTTCCTCTTTAGTATTTACGCTTTCAGTATAAGGTCACTGGTGATAGCTTTCATAACAGAACAACAACAATCTCATTATGACTATGAATGTGGATGAAGGCTTAGGTTGGAGTATAGTAGGTACACTTACAAGCACATGCACTTGTACATATACATTCATAACAATAAATATACTGTCATATCTTTTTTAACTTAATTCTAACTCATACTACTAACAATGTAGATTTTCATGAGTAAATAATAATTAATAATTTTAGAATTGATTTTTCTATAATATAAATGATGTGTATAATAATATAAACTATAACATATACATTATGAAATTACTAACTATATTTTGTTATAATTAGAAATTTAACTAATAGATTGCATAAATATGTTCATAAATATTTTGCTTAAAATGTAAATAATATATATTCAATTCTCTAAATGCAAAGTGTTACATATTTTCATACAAATTTAATATTTTTATTATCTTCATATTTTTAAAAGATATACAATTATCTTGTGATGTATTTTATCAACAGGAATAAATTACATATTCTTGTATCAGATACCATGCCATTTCATTTACCAATTTGTGAAATCAATCCAAATCGCAACCTTCTTTCTACTCTACATAATTTTATGAAGGTAAATTATTACTTTAAATATATATTTTTCGATATTTTATACTAAACTTATAAACAAAGCTTTTTTCCTATTTTCTTTGCATTTAAATGCAAATAATTTTACACTATAAGTTGGTATAAATTGTTTAGGAATTATTTGGAAATGGAGTTGCACAGCATAAACCACATGGTATACTTTCTGTAGAATTCAGTGGAGGTCAAGGAGGAGATGGACTTTGTTTAACATTATTGGTATCATTTAAGTTACCTGTAGAAGATGTACCTGCTACTGGAAAATTCATTTGGCATGAATTGTCCGAAAATCTGGCCACAAGTATTACGTATCGTTTACCACGAAATATGACTGTGCCTTTAAACGTTATACGATGATCAAATATGCATAGTTTAACTGCATGCTAGGTGTGCATAGTATAATTGCATTTTAAATTTTATTAATTTATTTTTTTCTTAAAATGAAATTAAAAATTCTTCAGCTAGCACACCATATCTTAATTACAATTATATAATTCAGTAGCTTGAATTCTTGAAAACTATTATCAGAATTGAAACATAAAATTTCTTAATTATGACATTACATTATGGCATAAATTTTATAATTAAAAATAATTACCATATATGCACGCATATACGCACGTAACTCTACATATACACATATACAATGCAAATATACTCGTCTGATATTAATATCTAACAATTTTTAACTATATTAGAAAAGTATTTATGTTATGTATTTACATTTTTCCTAGTCTATACCAATGATTTTTTTAACAAAAATGAGTATACAGAATGTAATTCTTATGGAAGATTATAACATAATGTTATTATTATTAATTATAAATGAATTACATAAATTACTGTATTTTGTTAGAAGAAAACTGCAAGTACTTTCAGTTGTTACCAAAAATTTTGGAGGATCTCTTTGCTTCAATTTTAAGACTCGTGTAAAAATTTTTATAAACATAATGGTAGATTAGAAAAATTTGGGAAACTGACATATTGAGTATAAATTTATTTTTATATATTATACTTTATTTTCGGAACTAAAGTGGGTCACTTGAAATTATCAAATGGGTCGGTCGGTGACCCGCGGGTTAAAATTTATTTTTATATATTATAAAATATTGTAAAGAAATATTGTTATTTACATTCCAAATACACGTACGAAAAATATATAAATGGAGATTCTTAAGCATGAATATAAAAATAAAACTCATAGATTTATACATAAATATATAACGAAATTGTAAAATAATAGTTACTGAAATTCGGAAAATTAGTAAAATACGTAAATTTGAATATGTATCTTACAAATGTATATCACATTGTAGATATGTATAATGATACATATTTAAATAATATTTAACAGAAAGTTTGAGGCAATTTGTTATGTAATTTAAATAATACATTTTGAAGCTTTTAAAAGTATTTATATAGATTAAATAATCTTTTGTAGTATATATAATATTTATTAACAATGTGAAAATAAAATAAAAGATATTAATAATAACTTAATACATTCTCCTACGTATTTCATGATAAATAAATACTTCACTAAGCATTTTACAGAAATTTATTTAATATTTTATTAAAACGCACAGGATATGTCAAGAGTATGAGTATGAAAACTTAGACATTTATATTTTATATTACATCAAATTTAAATATTTTAAATATCACAGAATGTACATAAATATTTTTATAAAAAATTTTTCAGTATACTTTTGGCTTATCCTATACATAACAATAGTAGAAATAAATTTTTTACAAAAAATGTGTATGTTTAATATATTTTTTAATATTATATTATTTGGATAGAATAAAAAAAAGGATTTCAGAATACTTAATATAAATAATTATCATAAATAATAAAATGAATGAAAAATTGAATAGAAAATTGCAATTTCAAAATAATTTTATCTTATTATACAATAATAAATTTACAAATATTTGATGTATTATATGAAATTGCACATATTTTCGATTATATTCCACATAGTTAATATATTATGTAAACAGTTTTACTCTTTACAATATAAAACTTATATGTAATTCCAAAAATATATATTTATATTATGTTCGTAATTATTATTGTGACTGTTAGTCATTAAGAAATTTAAACTCTGATAATACATTTTTACAGCAATTATAATTACAAAATAAACTTATAAATTGCACTATCATTAAAGTATTTACCCAGTATATTTAATTTGTTGTTGATGTTAATATTCCAACTGTATTTGTTAATTCATCATCATTACTTTCATTTTTTATAGGAACAATGTTGTTTACACTAGGCATTAGTTTAACATCAGTAGTTTGAGTGAGTGGTAGATTATTAAATGAACTTATAGGTGGAGTGTCATTGATATTTACTGCACCAGATACTGTTTGTTTCTCATTATTTTCACACTGATTTATACTAGTGTTAATATTTACAATATGTTTCTTCATATGAGTGGTTAAATTTCCACTATGATAAAAGTCTTTCCCACAAACCTTACATTGAAATGGTTTAATTCCAGAATGTATCCTTTCATGTATTGATAAATTTCCACTATGCCTAAATTCCTTACCACATACAGCACATTTATATGGTTTTATACCTGAATGAGTTCTTAAATGTGTTGACAAGTTTCCACTGTGACTAAACATTTTTCCACATATTTGGCAACCATAAGGTCTTTCACCAGAATGTGTTCTCATATGGATAGCTAAATTTCCGCTATGAGTAAAACACTTTTCACATTGATTACATTTGTAAGGCCGTTCTCCATTGTGAGTTCTCATATGTATAAATAAATTACTTTTATGTCCAAACTCTTTAAAACATATTTCACATTGACATTTAAGTTTTCTTCTTATATTTGCTTCTGAAGAACTTTTAGGTGGTCTTCCAGGGCGGTTAGATTTTATGGAAGATATAGGTTCTGAAATCGTTACTATTTGACTTGTAAACTTTGCTGGTTGTATATTCTGAGAAAATTGCAATTGTTCAGCTTTTTGTGGCATATCTATATGACACTGTTGATTCATTTGATTCAAACTTTCTCCCTGATTAACTTGAAAGATTGTATTATTTTGTACACAATTTTTCATATATGCTAAACAATTATTTTCCTAAAATGTTTAATATTTAGAATTAGTTTCTTAATGAAATATTGTATAGATTTTATGATTTCAAAAATAAATGTAACTAATCATGTGATCTAAGTCTTTAAGTAAAATTGCATATATTTTAACATTTGTAATATTTATTAGGATTATAAAACCTACTTCAGTTTGAAATAAATTGTATTGGCCATGAATTTCATTTTTTGGGTGTATTTCATTTGATAACTGTGTATGATTCCAAAACTGTGATAACTCATTATATTTATAATCAACATTTTCCTGACTAAATGTTGAATATTTGGAATTAGTTGGAGCATTAATTTTATCACCAGAGTTAACATCTTCTATTCCCATACATTCATGTTTTATTTGTACAGAATTAAACATCTATATATATATTAAAAAATAGTAATAATTAATAATACTTTTATACTATTTATTAACGCTAATTAATAGGTATCTAATTAATTTAATTAATTGATTCAGCAAAATAAAATAACGAAGATTATATTTTATAGATACAATAATTTTTAATTGAAAATGTAAAGTTATTAACATTATGGTATAATTATTTAATAAATGTGTAATTAAACATTTAAAATTCATGTGAAGTTTACATACATTTCAGAAAAAATATTCTAGAATTAATAATCACTGCCCTATAATTTGCAATTCTTCATAGTTTGATCAAAAAATCAATTTTGAAACAAACATGACTAACATACACTATCACTTCACCACAGTTATTTATGCTATATATATGTAAAGGAATAGTTATTTATAAACATTTTTTAAAATATCATTCAATACATTAAGTAATTAGAGGATTGTCTTATTATATTGGAGAATTTAATTCTTTTTGTAAAAAATGTAAATTTTTTATATCACCAGACAGTGCCATCTATAAAGACTATATTGTTTCGTAGTGGACTGTACTGTTAATTTTCGAATTTAATGTAAAGTACCACAGATATTCTAATGAAAGTTAAAAAAAACTTTTGAATTTAAAATAAACCTAATGTGATGTAATATAGTTGGCAATCAGATTTAAAAATGCTTAGTATTTAATATTTTAATATTGCGTTATATATTTATTACATCGATCCATGGTTATTTTTGGTTCAAATTAAAAAAAAACGTTACATATCTTTAATAATCCTCATAATATTAATTAGAAATTATTTACATATGTCACTAATCTATATTTAAAATCTTTAATTCGTATATAAAAATTAGAAAAATGTACAGTACAATATACGTGAATAAATATTAAATACATCGTGAAATATATACAATTTATATGTATATGAAAAAAACAAGGGGAATATTGAAAAAAGTATATTAGTATGATTTCATTTGTATAATGTAATTTGCTAATTAAAGTAGTATTATATACCAGTAGTAATTTTGTATATATCCTAAAAGTAAAATAAGTCAACTAGGCATATTTGATCAGACATAAAACTAGAAGTATAAGATTTCCAAAGTTCCAATTTTTTAGTATATACATTTATTACTTAACAGATCAAAAATTGTTTTGTCAAATCATTATGTTTAACTACATTTATTAAAGTATAGTATATAAATCGTATAGACTCTTCTTATCTATTTTTTTATTTCCTCTCTCTTTAGTAGTAATACGCACCATAGGAATTTTCTATGAAAAAAATGTTATATTTTTATTATTTTTGGAGGTAATACATATATATGTATATAAGCTTATTGAAATTCTAGTTACTTTGTCTATATAAATAAGTTAATAATATTTATAATAATATATTTTTTAGTAAAATTTATAATCTGCTCATTTAATGTATAGAGTGCGCTACATATCATCACAGTAATGTTCACTTCAAGAATGCTATTTTATGTTTTATAAATTTCAGGAAGAGATAAACCTGTGTATATATCCTGTTTGTGTACAAAACAAAAACATAAACATTTTATAATAAGCAATTTCGGATAAATAAGAAATTATTGATTATGTTAATTTTGGTATGTTTCTTCTTCCATTATCAGTATTAGCGAATTTGAGCAATCATGAAAGTGAAAATAAAACTTGTTTAATATGTTAAATTTATTTATTTATTTTTAAAATAATTTATTAAATTAAAAGTAAGAACAATAATGAATTGAAATAACATGAAACAAAGTAACTGAAATGTGAACTGGTACATTATGCCTGGTGGAAGACGTAATGCTGCTAGTAGAAATGGACAAACTAAATCTCAAGCTAATTTTTCTGTATCTTCAAATATTGGTATAAGAAGCAATAGTGGAGAAAGAACAGCTGGAAGTGGTGCAGATGATAAGAAATCTGAGGAATATCGTGGTATAAAAGCATTGGTGCCAAAACATGTACCTATACCAGTTGTACCTATAGATGGTCATTTAACATTTGAAGCTGTGTCTTTAGTTGTGTCAATTATTGCAGCTTCATTACAAATGCTTAATTTATATAGAACTGTTTGGTGGTTACCTCATTCTTATAATAATTATAGTATGGTATGTTATTATATTGTTCAACATATCTTTTATATGTACTAACAAATATGAATTAATAACAATAATCTTTCAGAATTTCTATTTAATAGATCCTTATTTACTTATATTTATCATAACTATGGTTGCAAGGCAATTCATTTATTCTTTACTACGTCGGATTATTGATATTTCATCACCAGTTCGTTGGTTACCTACTGCTCAAAAAATGATGAGGTATGTTTTGCTATAAATTATGTATATAATATACAAAGTGGCAGTCAGAATAATTGTATATATTATTTTTCAGGATAATTTTGTTAATTATTGTGATGAATATACTGTGCTGGTGTCTGTATCACATGGCTGAAAGGCACAACTCAATGAAGATTTTTTACTTATGTTATCCGTTTGTATTTCTTTGTTAAATTGCAGTTATTCATTCTAATATGATATGTATAACAAATAGTACACATGTATTAGACAAACAAGAAATGTTTATTACATGTATTTTGTTTCAGAAATTTATCTGTATATTTTGTAATGTTTGGTGTAAGTGCAGCACCATTTTTTGATATATCAACACCTTTATATAGTAAAGATGAAAAGAAAACAAAATTTCTAATGGGTATATAACTTACAAACATATTAATAATAATAACAGTAGTTATTTTTATATTTCTAAATTATCATATCTATATGTGAAGAATTTAGATTAAACCTTCTTTTTTATATAGATAAACCTTTACATAATTGCTCATTAAATGCATCAGCAATTAGAGCAGAAGTCTCAACATTAAGATCTGATTTTAATCGTCGTTTAAAACGAGCTTTATTTGCATCTTCTAGTAGCGCTTATGTATGTGGTATTGCACCCATCATATTTGTACCTCAACATTTACATTTTAATGTTTCATGGGTCGTGCAACATGTTATTATGTTCTGGCTTGAAAGGATAAGTGCTCACTTCTCACATGCTTATCCCATCAGGTATATATTCATATAATTGTAGTATACGTAATTATATTTTTCATGAATTTTGTAAATTCTATACTAGTATACTTTCTATTTTTATAAGATCGTGCAATGTGAATATTGCATTTAAAAATTCATTTCCAGAAATTTGATGAATACCATAATTATTTAGGTACTGTGACGTCTTACATAGAGCAGCATTACATCTAGGTCAATGGGTTAAAATTGAAAATCGTAATAGTCATACTTATGCTCAAGCCTGGAATGATTCTGTTTTGTGGCCTCATGGTTCAGTTGTGAGACATAATAAAGAAATTTATCGTTCAGAAGGTTTATGTACTGTAGCAGAACCAGGAAATTCAAATCATTACAGATTTTATGTATGTGATAAACATCACTTTATTTCGACGTAAATTTCATTTTGATTATATCTGTACTGTGATGACCTTAAATTAACATATATTTCAATTATTTCATACAGGCGTTATTTAGCAATCCCACGATGTTATTTCGTTCATTGATGGGCTTGCAATTTCTTCTTGTCTGTGCACAATTATTTATTTTATTACGCACAACTGATTGGTATCAAGTACTATCAATAACATTGCTTCTTGTGATCAACTATTATACCTTATTTAAAGTTATTAGAGATTACCTTATCTGTTTGAAACTGTATCATACCGAACAAATAATACAAGAAAAATCGCAAATGATTGCAAATTCTGTTGTTCAATAAATAAATATTTAAGGAAAATGTTTATTTTACTGCATTTACCCTTTTCTATTTAGCATTTCAATTTTATCTTAATTTATTAACCTTAGGAAATTATATTTTTGAAGTTTATTCGTATTCCAAAAGTTAAGTTAGTATTGAGAAAATTAAACTTATTATAATATAGATAAAAGGGAGAATATTGAAAATGCGAATTATTAAATAACTGAGCAATAAACTTGAAGGTATATATTTACCTCCAAATATTTTTACAGACATTATTGGTTGCATGAATTATTTTTAACTTTTTCCTTAAACACACAGTTTGTTGACCCCAAATTTTTTTAATTATTAAAAAAATCATAAGGAAAAATATTACCTAATTATTATTTTATCTAGTTATTTAGGAGTCGTTACGCGATAGTGCAATATGCAACATATCTTTTTAATAACGAATGATGTACATGCAAATCTTTCAAGCAATATTTTGACCGTAGAATAAACTTAGTCTCTAAAGAATATATACGCATAAATTATTAATTTCGAATATGAAAAACAAGGGATGATTTTTCATGTAACGATGTATATATTTTAAAGTAAAACGTAATCAAAGTTGAGGAGTTTTTTGGAAAATGATCTCAAGATAAGGCATTTTTTCGATTATCGCATTTTTATATATTGTTATATACTTATTTTATATGAAAGATAAAATTTATGCAATATCGATTACAAACAAAAAGGTTTCAACTTTGAATATCTCGAGATACAATTTTGACAGATTGTCTCTTCCTCCAAAAAGCTTCTCAATTATAGATTAGCAATACGTTATACAAAATCATTACTTTTATTTACATTTTGAATGAAAAGTCTGAATTCAAAAAAGTCGTAAGTTAGAATAAATTAGAGTTCTGTATTGTTTCGTGCTTTTTCAAAGAAACATGTTTTTTATTTTATTACCTTATCTTATCATTGAACTTCATAAATTTTGTATAACGAATTTAGATAACTGTACAATATGTACTCAGGTGCATTCGCATACGTTTTAAATAAATGGCAAATGAAAAAGCAATTAACGTTATTGATAAAACACCGAAGCATGAAATTTTCAATTTTATTGTGGAAAGAGATCTTTTATGTAGTAAAATATCCAAACAATCACAGTGTTATATATAAGACTGCAATCAAGATATTAGTTAGTATGATTCGTGTTATTACGATGAATTCCATTTGGAAAATATTTTTAAGTTTCTCTCTTACATTTCTCGGTGTGAAATAATTCCTTTTTCTTATACTTATTTCATCCCTTTCATACGAATTTCTGTAGCATGTTATGTATTAAAGCAATGACTTATAATTATCGTTTCTTTGATATTAATAATCGATATCTAAGGAAAAACAAATGTATTCAACGCACTATTAATATAATTCAATATTTTTACGATACTACAATTTTTATGCTAATATTAAATTATGTAGCTTATACGTATGTAATTATTCCGAATTTGAAAATATTTTTAAGCTATTCCTTATAATTTAGTTACAGTGGATTGTGAGGGGCAACAATCAAATGAATTGACCGGTTATATCCCTGGGGTCAGTGGTATGACACCAATAAATGTAACGAACTGCATAAACGATGAAATTCGTAAGAATCCTTCACTATCGAACCCTCTTGAGTGTGCTCGTCCCTGTCATGTGTCGGATAAGCCGAAAACGTGTTACTATCATTTTGTAATTGAACGTTATCAAGTCAATGGACAGTAAGTACAATCACGAAAGTTTTAAATTGCATTTTTCGTAAGTTTTCCTTTATTAATCAACATAAATTTCTACGTCTTTCTTATGGCGAGAGTTGCGAATTCAATTAACACTTTTATGTTTTATTAAATTTTATTTTCATTTCTAGAGCGTGTAGTCTTTGTTTCCCCAATGTTACCAATTCGATTTGTCCGAATTGTCAGTGTATACCCGGTGACGGGGTGAATCGTATGGCTTTAACTGTGAACAGAATGATACCAGGACCAAGTATACAAGCTTGTCTAAATGATTCTATCGTAATAGACGTTACAAACAAGGTGCTAGAAGATGCTGTGACGATCCATTGGCATGGACTGTTCCAGCATGAGTCTCCATACTACGATGGTGTACCTAGTGTAACACAGTGTCCAATCTTAACTGGAACTACCTTCAGGTATTTTGTAATTACTTATAATATATGTACATCTTTATATATATTTATAATATATACATTTTACGATGTACATTTATACATGTAAAAATTATTAATGTTCTGAGAAGAATTAATTAAAAAATTGTTTTCCCTTCTTCTAGATATCAATATCGCGTAGCGAACCCCGGCACTCATTTTTGGCACGCTCACACAGGGTTGCACAAGATGGATGGCATTTTTGGTAGTTTGATTGTCCGAGTTCCAAGGAAAAGTGACCTTAATAGACGTTATTTCGATACTGATTTGGCAAGTCATGTTCTGGTTATCAATGACTGGATGAATGAAGAAGCCACAGAGAGATATCCAGGGCGTTCAACAAATGGTATAACTGGACAACTACCCGATGCGCTGCTGATTAATGGAAAGGGACTTATAGTAAGTATATTTCTTTGATGATTAATTAAATAAGTATTAAAATATTTGAATGTGAAAATTCGAAGCATACGTACTGATTAGGCTTTGCAAAGATTGAGTTGACAAAACTTTGGTAAGTTATACGCTATCTATAAAATTCTTTTATTTCTATTTTTCAGTTATTAAAGATTAAAAGATATTATTTTGTATACTATTAGTGTACATAGTATTATTATTGACGTACTTTTATTTACATTGTAGGGCGCTAATAATACCATTCTAACTCAAGCTCATCCAGACATTGTAGTAGAACCAAATACACGTCATCGTTTCCGGTTAATTAATTCTTTTTGCACCGTTTGTCCGGGTCAATTAACGATCGAAGGTCATAACTTGACCGTGATAGAGTCAGATGGTCAGCCTATTAGGCCTTTCGTTGTAACGTCCATAGTTTCGTTCCCAGGTACGGAATCAATGAATAAGAATAAAAAGATATTCATTTCCAAATGAAAAATTTAGTTTCGTTCATTTCTCAAATAATAAAAGTAAGTGGAAATAAGTAGGTTAATGGAAGCAATTTTTAATAATTGCGTTTCATTGTAGGTGAACGATACGATTTCGTCATAAACACCAATCAACGTCCTGGTGCTTATTGGATACAGTTACGTGCATTGGACAATTGCGATAGTAATAAGACTCAACAATTAGGTATATTGCAATATTTAGGTGCGTCTAAGAAACCAACAAGTCCTGTACCCACCTACAGTGGCGGTCTTGCGCCAGGAGTTGTAAGATATTCTTTCTATTATGCCTTAATACACGTGTTATTTTTCCATTTCAAGTTTTCCAATGTCACGTTTAAAAAGAAATATATTTGGAAAGATATTTTTCATAAACGAACATATTTCATAAATAATTTAATACTTTGACTTATTGAACAGTTCGTTTCTTTATACTCCTATAATGACAGGTTTTAAATCCATTGGATGTTAGCTGCAATACTCAAAATCCTAAAGCAATATGTATCAATAAATTGAGAAATGCGATTCCGATTGAGAGTGGTCTCACGGAACCAACGACAGATGTGCAATTTATCATACCTATAGGTTTCGTCGTTATTCCACCAGATCAACTATTTCGACCGAATCAATATAGATCTTTTCTATGTGAGATATAAATTTAATACTTCAATATGTCTAGATAAATCTACCGTAATGTTTATAATTCATTTCAAAATGCTTTCTTTTTTCCTCGAATACCTGTGTAGATCCCGGCGGTGTCGATGTGGCAGCAACATTAAACGGAATAACATATCAACAGGCACCTTCACCGCCAATTTCTCAACCCAACGATGTACCCCCAAGTCAGTTTTGTGATGGTGATCGGTCTAATTGCACCGATTGCACTTGTTCGCATATGTTGAGAATTCCACTGAACGCTACCGTGGAAATAATACTGGTCGATACGTGTGAGTAGTCCCAAGTGGATTGTACAAACATCAAAGAAACTTTTTCTTTTATTCAAATTGAAATGTTTCGAAAAGTTTCTTCAGGAGTAAAAATATGTTTTTAATCAAACTTTTCATAATCGCAGCTCAAATTCCACGTCTCACGCATCCCTTCCATATGCATGGATTCGCATTTAGAGTTTTAAGTATGGATCAACCATTAGGACCTTATTCTAACACGGGGAATGGCTCAACGATCGATGTTGATTTTGTGAAACAACTCGACAGCAGCGGGAAAATAAAAAGAAATTTCAAGTCTGCTAGCAAGGATACTCTTGCTGTTCCGAATAATGGATATACCGTGATTCGATTCCGCGCAAACAATGCAGGTACGTGGGATGAACGAGCTGTTTTCACCGATAAAGAATTTTATATTGTTATGGAAATATATGATGCTTGAGTATGTCATTGATTATGCGATTAAGAGTATCACTTTCACAGAATGAAGTTAATATAAATATTTGCGTAATTAATCGTCAGCCTTCGTTTCTTACTATTGCCGATGTTAATTGGTATTTGTTTGTGCTCAAGGATATTGGTTCTTCCACTGTCATTTTGTTTATCATCAAATGGCCGGTATGGAGCTTATTCTTAAGGTTGGAGAGCAAAGTGATTTACCTCCCGTACCTCCAAATTTCCCGAGATGCGGCAATTTCAAAGCTCCTATCAAGGGATTAGACGATAGCGACGAATCAAGCTCCGAGGAGGAAACATTTTCATCGGAATTAAATCTAATGAGCGAAGTTAGCACATGGATTTCTTCACAACTTTCATCAGAGACTGATTTACTTAATTTATAATTATGGAATACTATTAGCATAATTTTGTATGTATATAAAGATATAGTGCTGGTCATTCTGTTTTAAAATAAATAAATACATTTTTGTGAAAGCAATCTATCTTTCTCTTATTTACTCATTTTTTATTAAAAGTAATTGACAATTTTACAGTTATAATTATATATCGCATAATATTTTCTACTTAAAGCTATATTTATACAAATATTATTCAATGGATCTTTCATTCTGCTCGTTTTTACATCAGACGGTTCGTTGTACGTAAATGCCATAGTGTTTCAATTGTATATCCACATGCTCGAAGCACGAAATGAAGATAACAACGTGCTAAAAACAGATGATATGCATAATTATACTTTTAACAATTGTTTTCACCTTATTTTTAGGTTTGCTAATATTTGCCATTCAATTCTGTTTTCTCTTCACCATACCAACTTTATCATGTGGCCGTTTCAGAAATTAATTTATGACGTTACGTCGATTATCACATTAACGTTGTATCGATAGTGCCTCGTACCTTCGCCTTCTCTTTATTTTCTAATCGATAGTTATTAATTACTCAGGTTTAAAATGAATGCAAGAGTTAAAATATTTTACGCTGGAGAACATAAACGTGTTAGAACCACCGATGCTGCAAGCAGCCATATGGTCCATGTATTCGTATTCGCTTGAGATCTTGTATACCACGTTTTCGTAACATTAGCAATCCAATCTCGATAAGGATATACTCTGGTATACACGTCAGGCTCGCCAATCGCACACGGATAGCCATGTGAAACGATCCCTACCTGTTCACCTTTTACAACCAAAGGGCCGCCAGAATCACCCTAAGATAAGGAACATCGTTACGAATTTCAACGAACTTGTAACCGAATTGTATAAAATTAAATAGGACACAAAACGCTGATCAAGTTGATCGTAACTAAGGGTGGATAAATTATCAATACACTTACCATGCAAAGACCTTTGTTCTCAGCTTCGAACGTGCATATACTATTTTTGGATAATCTCAAATACGATTTTGCACACGATTCTTGGTCTATTACGGTCACGTTTATTTCTTGTAACGTATGAGGGATAACAGAATTGCTTGCCTAGAAGAAAGAGGAAAAAAAATATGAGTAAAAGCCACGTATATCTGACCATGAGTATATAGCTAGTAAATCGTAAAGTAATATATGAGTGATATTAAATAATTTAAAAAATAGGCGATGAAAATTTATATGTTTAAATATATATTGCATGTTAATTGCAATTTATAAAATCACTTACACCTAATCTTCCCCAACCAGTTACCACAGCTATTTCTCCGGGAGTCACATCATATTTCGATCCAAGTGCAATTGGTTGAATATATATATTGTATGTAAGGTTTGTTTTCAGACGTATTAGACCGATGTCGTCATTATATGTGAGAGGATTATAATTCTCGTTCATAATTAACATATCGACAGCGTAGATAGCGCGCTTTTGCGTTAAATCAGTTGTTCCTGCGACAATTGTGAAATCTGATGCAATTTCTCTGCAAAATTATAGAAATGCATAATTAAGAATGTACGCATCGAGATATCATCGATCAATAAATAATAAATACAATGATAAATATGAAAGTAGCAAATAAAAATTTAATAATAAATATTATTACGACTTATGAACTTATTCGGTTAATTTAATATTTTAGTTTCCTTGATTTTTCTGCCTTTTTACTCCCAATGGATTTTCAACGAAAGATTTCGTTCAATGATTCAATGAAAGACCTTCGATGGAAATATTTACGATAAATTATGAAGTGCATGACTAATGGTGTTATCAGCGTTATTCCGATATATTTCAAGTTGTATCGAAATAAATTCTTACAGTATAATTCACTGATACATATCGACTGTTTCTGCTATTATATCTTGTTAACTGTATAAACTATTCCGTAATGCTTTCAAATCTTATGTACAACTTAGCGATGTAAAATAGATACGCAAAATATTTTAGAACATCAGGGTAGTACGTATCTCATTTATTATCTATATCTTATACTTTATATCTGGCCAGTATGACTTTTATCGATCATTTTATCGCTAAAACTTATTTTATCACGTGATACGGGTATAGAATATTATAGGTTATGACATAAATTTTACAGTCCAGGAATATTTTAAATAGGCATATTTTTGTAATAAAGTATAAATTTGGAATTGTTACGAAAATTTGTCCTTCGATACTTTCTTCTTATTATTAATTCTAAACCTGTACAGATTTAATATCCGCCATCAGCACATAGTCTTTGCTTCATTCCTCGACATTTCAATTTGCACTGTACGTCAAGATCTCGTCTAATTTAACGAAGTGAAAGTATACGACTGAAAATGTACAAGTTTCTTGTTTACTGTTTAAAATGGTTGCATAAACAGTATCTTTGGAGACCATAATTGAATATTTGACACTTCTCGTTAATGACAACTGTGCAACATTACGATAACATAAATATTTTTTGTTATAAACTTACTGGTAAATGCAGTGTGCAGCAGTAAGGATGAAACGATCATTAATAATTGATCCACCGCACGAAGGGAAGTTTTTGATTAGGATTAATACTTGGTACGGATATTTATGATCTTCGGCATTCTGACCACCCACAATTCGTGGAGTTACCGAGCCTGAAATCGCGAATGAGTAAAGTACACACGATATAACAAAATTTACACTTCGCAGTGGAATGATAAATATATGAATGATACGAAAAAAGAATTACAGCACTATTTCTTGTTGATGTCCCACAAAATTGGTCTACGATTAACCACTTGCGCTGGAAAGACGTGTCACGCACGTCGTAATGCTTTTGTCACAGAATCGCCGAGAACGTGGTATACACGTTGTTAGGCAATTGTTACAGAAACACCGGACTGTTCTGGCACACCCGTCTGTGAATTCCTTGCCACCGCAAATGGTTAAGTCTATCTATACATTGAAGCTTTAAATCGCGCGATAAGAAAATTTTAGAATTAAAACTTACCACTGACAGCGGAGACTATGATTAAGAGGACAGCTAACGCGTACATGATGTCTGCAATTGAATTTTGTTTAACTTTTGTTAATCTACTGGAAAGTACGTTTTCCATGAACCTCTCAATCATGACTAACAGCGTCAGAGTGATAGATAGATAAATATATAGATAAATCTTTATTGTTTTTCTATTGGATTACAAGGGTTCCGTCTCTCCTTATCTTCCATACATATTGCTTATTTTATATAAAATATATAACTGCTATAACAACAATACAATATTAACGATATATCAGCCTATGATACAACCATCATAATAACTTAACCTAACCTATAACAAAAACTGAACCTAACCTATAACAATAACTTAATCAAACCTAACATAAACATACTTTTATTTACACAACTAAGCCACATCTTATCCCACCCCCCATCACTGGTTTTTGCCTTTGTTCAATTTTGCAAAATTCTCTCTTCTCATTCTTCTTCTGTTCGCCACTTTCCATTCATCTTTTTCGAGGCTAGCCTCTTCCACCTCTTTCTTAAAATTCTCTCTTTCTATTTCTTTCCATTTTTCACACATCTCTTTGTATTCTGTTCTTGCTCTCTTGTATTCCTCCCTTTGCTCTTTTCCTCTTCTACAACTTCTTAGTTTTCTTCTCACTTCCGTCTTCTTTTCCCTGCATTCCTCGTTCCACCATCCAGTCTTCCTCTTTCCTCCTTCCTGCTTCCTATTCTCTAACGCCTTTCTTAATTTCTCTATATCCATGTCCATCATTTCCTTTACGCTTCTTCCGTTTCTCCTTATCGTTCCTATTCTTTCCCAAAATTTCTCCACATCTTCCTCCGTCCAATCTCCTCGTCACCTTTTCCTCTCGCTGTTGCCCCACGCTCCCTAGAAACGGAACTCAACAGCGTCAGAGTGATAAAACCAACGAATATCTTGCACTCAGAAAGAATTTCGTTTTTCTTAAATGCCTACGTACACACCGATTACATAGATCAGATTTTATTATAATAGAGAATAGGTAAATATGTTCATCACGGATAAAATTAATAAATACGTTTATAAATAAAGACGACTTGCCTTCGTTGTATTTTTTCCAGCTAAATAAACGCTGTCAAATTTTATGCCTCAAGTACAATCCGATAATGATGTCATAAATTGAGATGGATATTTTTGTCTGTTATATTTTTCGTATTATAAAATACAAAGTTGAGACGTAGAAAACAATTTGCTTTTTAACGTCGACGTTTTACGAAGAATTCTCTTCTTAGGTAGGCAATGTCACTTTTCTCACTGTACTTTAATTGCATCCTATAATTCTCTAACCAACGTGTCAGGAAAATAACATAGAGATGTTAGGTAACCACTTTTAGATCATGCTACTCAGCATTAAGATATAACTTACAATTGGAAAAATGTTTTGTGAAAAAATCTCGAATAAGAACATTATAATATTGATCTCGAATGAAACACTTGTATTTTCGTTTTAAGCACTTGATAATACTTCTATGGATACGAGTTTCGTACTGATTACCAATCACTACATGAACGTCGAATTTCTATTTGTACTCGGAAATACATGGTGTCTCAAGAATAAAAGGTATACGCGTGGAAGTGCTATACTTGTTATACTCGTTCGAGTGTAATAACGCAAAACCATTGTAACAATATTTTAAAGTCTTATATCTTACAATTATATTTTAATAAAAGGCTATTATATCTTTGTATCTGAGGCTATACATCATACTTTGCTGTTAAAATGGATTATAAGAATCATAATATACTTGAAATGTTCAATTAAGCTATAATAGGAAATCAAGGTTCACGGCTAATAAATTTTCCGATATCAACGATTATTTTGTGCAAATCAATCCAATAATATTAAAACAAGCGCAATATTTCAAACGTATTCACTAGGATGTATCTAGGTGTCTGAAAAGATTAAGTAAGTAAATACATTTCCATTATATATTAGTCTAGTTGATGTATATAGTTGTAAATTAAATTATATTTAATATATTAAGATCTTACGAGTCAAATTTTATTTTTATGCTTTCCTCCAATTTTGAAATACGGCTGGAAATTTAATTTTTCTCGTTAAGAATATAAATCGAGATATTTCTTTATAAATTCATATTATTTTTCGCGATAGAAAATTTTTAATACTTCTTTAAACGTGTCTTTTATAATCATATGGAATAAATTTCATGATCTGGTAGAAAGGAAATGGAATCACGCAACGGTCTGATTATCCAATTTATATATATATATATATTCCAATTTATCTGTAGGAAGAAAGACACACGCTATTGTTTTTCCTTGTTGCAACTTTTCATAAACAAAGAATACGACATTTTATTTTTTTACATTAAAAAATATCAGTTCATCACAGTTCTAATCAATTCGTTATCACATATGAATATGATGGCAATCGTTTATGGAAAAATGTATTAATCTTATCATTAAATTAATCGACAATATGTTTTGGTGCACAAAGTGCCTAAATGGTACCGATATTATATATACTCATAATTCAGCTATCAATTGTAGAGCAATTGTGGTCTCGTAATGAATATTATCCGAGAAACGTTTCTATTTTCTATCATCATTCTTGCCGGTATAAATCTCTTTTTCTTCAGATCAGTCAATAATACCGAATCAGTTCATTTCTTCGTACCATTTAACAACTTTTAATCGAAAAATGTGTTTTGCGTATATTAGTATAATTGAAATACATCCTAATTATATGACTCGTGTAATTGTTCAAAGTGTAATTTAACATTTCAGCCTTTGGCCAGGATGAAAAATCTATCATCGCGGGCTACGCGCCCGGAGTTAGCGGCATGGAATCCATCGATGAATCAAGTTGTTTGAACGATGAACTTCGAGAGGACAGCGATTTATCGAACGCTGTTGAATGTGCACGTACGTGTAAATTAGGGGAAACGAAAACGTGTTACTACAAATTCGTGATTGAGCGTTACCCCATCAATGGCCAGTGAGTACAATAGATGAATATGAATTAATCTGATTTAACGATAAGATTAAATAAAATTAAACTTCCGTTAGAACAAACATTTTCATTCGAAAGCTGAATCAAAGAGAAATTTCTTATTTTAAGAGCATGCAGTTTATGTATGCCCAACGCTACCAACACCTTGTGCCCCAATTGCCAATGTGCACCTGGGGATGGAACGCAAAGAATAGCTTTGACCGTGAACAGAATGATACCAGGCCCAAGTATACAAGTTTGCGAAGGAGATTACATCGTGGTCGATGTTATGAATATGCTAAAGTCAGATTCGGTAACGATTCATTGGCACGGCTTATTTCAACAGGGTTCTCCATACTACGACGGAGTCCCGCACTTGACACAGTGTCCAATCATAGTTCAAAACACGTTCAGGTAAACTAAAGTTTAGGGATCAAGTCGAAATCAAGTTTACATATTTAAGTGGGAAAACCTTCTTGCAGGTACCAATTTTATGCCAATAACTGTGGCACTCACTTCTGGCATGCACACACCTCGACGCAGAAACTTGATGGTCTATTCGGTAGCTTTATCGTACGAGAACCAGCCCAAAACGAGCCCTATGCGAAACTGTACGACTACGATTTGGCAAATCACGTGATCATTGTCAACGATTGGTTAAGAGAAGAGTCTACTAGCCGACTTCCGGGTCGCAGGGCGGGAGAGACTGGGCGGAATGCAGACACGTTCTTAATCAACGGAAAAGGAGGATTCATAGTAAATATGATTCTTTTGATTAAAATTGGCTCCATATTTTTATTTTCAAACGTTTCTACAATTTCATTACGTTCTTCTACGATTTATAATATTTATAAGTACTTGTATTTGAGAAATAAAGGATGGTTGCTAATTTTATGCGTTATAGGATTCCGATGGGGAAACGACAAATATTCCGTACGATGTGATTACAGTGGACGCTAATAAACGCTACCGTTTTCGTTTCATTAATTCATTCTGTACCGTTTGCTCTGGACAACTGACTGTCGAAGGTCATGATCTGACTGTTATCGCCATAGATGGTCAACTTATAGAACCTGTCACGGTTGACTCTATAGTTTCCCTTGCTGGTACGATGTCAACTAAAATGATCAGTATCGATCGTTGATTATCGTTTCAATCGTTTAATTCTTCTAACTTTCACAGGTGAACGATATGACTTTGTTATTAATACCAATAAAACACCTAGTGCTTATTGGATACAGATTCGTGGTTTGAATAGTTGCGCAAGTATCCTGCAGTTAGCTGTATTACAATACGTTGGAGAACTTTCTACGCCAAGCACGAATGAACCTACTTCTACGGATCCTCTTCCTGCCGGAATTGTGAGTCAGTTTTTGTATTTTATGCAGAAGGTAATCAAGCAAGAATTGTTGATCTTTTCTCTTACTATTATATTCATACGTGTTGTATACAAGTTAGGTGATCGGCAAGGTTTTTTTATAAAAATATTAAAAAAAATAATAAAGATCAATTTTTTGGCTAATAAGAAATTGCCGTGATCTATGGCACAGTATAAATAATGCAAAGATAATAGTACATATACAATTCAACACGATACGGCATTTTCTACGACCATAGTCACTGAACGTAGCAGCTACCAACTGCGATGTCCCAAATGCCGATGAAATTTGTGCCAGTGACTTGAAAAGCGCTTTGCCAATCGATCCAGGCATCCTGAAGAAAGAACCGGATGTGAAGCTGTATCTATCCATAGGCATGCAGAGCTACAAACCAGACGAAACTTTCGTACCTAACCAATACCAGAATTATTTAGGTACGGTATAGACACGAGCTACGTGACTATTTTCTTTTATCTCACTTTTCGATAAAAATCACGGCTTAATATGTTTTTAAACCAAAAAAAATTAACGTTTTTATTTTCTAAATGTCGGTAGTTTTATCGCAAAATAAGACGATGATTACCACGTTGAATAATATTACCTCGGATTCCCCAAGCGCACCGCCACTTTCGCAGTTCGATGATGTAGCCGAAGAAGAATTCTGCAGTGTCGACAATTTGCCATCTAATTGCACTTCCAGCGAACCGTGTACGTGTATACACTTAATCAAGATTCCGTTGGATTCCATCGTGGAGATCAATGTGATCGATGAGTGTGAGTACGATAAATGCGTGAACGTCGAGAATGAAGCGTTGCATCGGTTTAAAAAATTTGAACTAAGGGTCTATGAGGATATATATTTATCGATTAACATTCGTTATTTAGGAAAATTCACGTAGAGATCGAGGAAGATATAAAAGTTGGGTTATATTTACAGTTAATGCGCAATCCGTACGACATGCGTTCCATTTGCATGGATTCGCGTTCAATGTTATTGCTTTGGGTCAACCCTTGGGCCCCACTTCCGACGAGAACCCCAGGATAACACTGGACTACTTCAAACAACTCGAGGAAAATGATCTGATAGAAAAGGATTTGATATCTCCTCCAGGGAAAGATACTATTCCTGTACCTAATAACGGATATGCTGTACTTAGATTCCGTGCAAGTAATGCAGGTAATTGTTAATCTTTATTATTACAAGTGTCAAAGGACTTGTTATGTGGATGATTTGAGAGAGCAATTGAATAAAAAAGTTGTATTTTCAAGGTTACTGGCTGTTCCACTGTCATCAGATTTTCCATCAGATCGCTGGTATGGAAGTTATTTTCCAAGTTGGAGAAGTAAGAGATATACCATCGGTTCCGAAAAATTTCCCAAGATGCGGCAACTATAAGCCCGCAATACAGGTTAAAAATAAAGATTCGAAACGGAAAATTAATCGAAAACAAGAATGAATTGATAATTCTATAAATGGAATTATTCTCAGTTTCTTATTTCCATAAATTTTTCGGAGCTTATTATTTTTCAACGATCTATCTCTATAAAGCAAATACAATTTCGTACAAGATATAATGACTAGTATTTAATTTTCAATGTTTAATCTTTATCGATTTTGGAGAAATGGTTTTATAAGTGGTGGTCGTTCTTGTATAGAGGACACTATAATCAATTTCATATCTATCAGTCGGTAAGACAGGTAATGTACTGTGAAAGTTTGTGCATTGCTAAATCTATCCTGTACCTCGCCTGTGATCTTATTCTTAAATAAGTCTATTTTCATCTATAGGTCTATTTGAAACGAACTTATTACAGACGAAATATTTTCTCTATAAAGTTATTCACAGTTCACTTTTCTACGTTGTTAAATTAATTTCCGACATGACCGATTATGAGAAATGTATCACATAATTCCTGATTTACTTAGTAGATGTCACAACCAGATAGAGTGCGTGCTATAGTAAATTCCTGTTGCATTAATTTTTTATTTTAAATCTATTATAATTTACACATGTATGTACAATATCGGGTATACAGTCATTAATATACGAATGCTTGTATTTTCGTCATTTGTATTAATATTTATCCAAATTTAGAATGAAGCATAAATTCAATTTTGTTTATGCTATAAATAATATCGTAGTATTAATAATGGTAATATAATGTCTGGCATAAAATTTTCAGCTCTATTCCAGATGTGATATAATTTATAAGTATTGTACCCCTTAAAAATACTTGTTACAAAAACTTGAGCATCCTAGAAGTTGTACTATAATGTATGGAAATATTTTTTAATGATATACATATAAATTTTTGTAATTGTTATAATCCAATAAATATTTCTCGTAGGTCAAAATCTTGCAAAAACATCTAGCTTTGAAATTAATAGTTTCAAACCCTCTTGCAGTATTCGAAATAAAATATTCCTAGATCTGGAAATGTCAGATTTGTTAAACTGTTCACCATTGAAAGATCACAGCAAAAATGATTAAACATTGCACTGTACAACTCGAACTTTAATGTGTAATATTCATTAAGTAATTCTTGTGGAATCTACTTTCGTGAAAAAGAATCCATAATCGAAATTGTTTTATTACCCTTAGTTTATAAAAAATATGAATTTATCTAAAAAGGCAGGATTTTTGTATAAAATTGCCTAACATTCCTATTATATAAAAAGTGGGAACAGTATGAGTATCATAGTTGTTTTACAAGTTAGGTGAGAGTATCAAGAGTTTATCAAAGTCCATAATTATAATTACTTGTGGTTACGAATAAATAATAATTGGTCATCAAATTTTTAAAATGAGCCTCCGAGCGCACTTTCTATGCATATTATTGTATTTTTACAAAAAGTTCTTTATCTGACATACATTTACTAAACAGTGACGTATTCTGTCGGCTTTCCTGAAGAAGAAACAGTCAGGAAAAAATATTACAATGATGTTCAATGTTGACAGAACGGTAAAATATATATCAGCAACACGTACATGAGATTTTGACGCCACTGGAAAAATCATCGTCTAGTAGATCTCATTTTTTTATGTCTATCACATGCATATGTTTTCATGTACTTTTTCTACACCAATCGCAAAATTATAAGAAATTTCCATAAATCCTTCGACATTTGGAACTGCTTCGTTGTTTGATACATAAATACGAATAACTTTTTAATATAAAGTAGTTAAAAAATCAACTGCCACCTAACTTTTAAGAAGAGAATGAATCTTCTAACATATTTATTTTTCGTTTAATACTATATATATATACTAAAATATTTATCCTATGCAGCTGCTGTTTTAGTTTACAAAACGTGTAAATATTATCAAATTTATTGTTAATAACAAATTGCTCGCAATACGTATTTATAATAAAAGTGAAAAAAATGAATAAATTATTGGTTATTACTTGAACTTCTATCATAATTATATAAAAATCT